GGCTGCTGCTGCTGCCGCGTTCTCGGTCTCCATGCCATCTTCCGTCAGGTCGCCCCTGGTAAGCGGTGGGAGAAGAGAGACAAGAGAACGCTGGAATCCCACTGCACCGCGTCCTCGGGGCCTCCTGCTAACGGACAGCTCTCTGGTGACCCGTCACACGGCTCGGCGTGACCTCGGAAGTCGCGGGGCCATGGATTTGGGACTGGGGCTGAGTGACAGGGCCAGCACGCTGCAGTGCCCAGAGCAGCGCCGGAGACGAAGCGGCCTGGGGACTGGGGGGCAGCGAACGCCACATGGCCATCCAGCACCTCCAACTTCCTCCTCCGTGAAGTGCTCTATTCCCACGATTCCATTTGATTACAGAAACTAGTGGAAAATGCAAATTTCTAGAAAGAAGAAAATCACGTGGCCTAACTTGATCTTATGTCAAAATAAGTTGTGACAAATCAAAGGGTAAAGGCAAAGGTGACACAGACAAGGCTGGAGGGGGGCCAGCAGGTGGCATGTGGGGAAGACCCTGGATCCCCCGGGGCCAACCATAGTTCGAGCACCAGGCCTGGCGACCTGAACTTGAATTCATGCCAGGCACACGTGCGTGTGTGCCCAGGGTCCCGAGAAAAGAACAAAGGAGAAGGGACTGCCACGTCGCCACCCGCCACCTGAGAGGTGGCTTCTCACTGTCCGTCACTCTGTCTCTCTGGTAAGCACACCCGCCCTATAACAAAAATCTCTCAAAAGAAAGAAGAAAGACGTACAGGTTTGTATAAATGAAAGATCCACGGGGGTCTGCTGGGCACCACCAGCAGGAACCTTGGGGCAGGGTAGGCTCACTCATGCTTGCTTACCTGCATTATCTAAGGTTCTACCGCACGTGCTTTGCAATAATCCATGGTTAGCCTTAATTTTTAAAAACCTGCTGTACGCTTCCTGGTAAACGGCAAACTAAAGCCGTGCATTTAACTCCTGCCCATCAGAAGTCCAACCAGCGCAGCCTGAGGGGCTGACTTCTGAGGTGTAGGCCCCGCACATGACGGGAGGCACGCCTCACAGTCAGGCATCCCAGCCCGAAGCCCGGGCACGTGCGGAGCTGCAGAGGGAGGTGAGAAAGCGGAGGCTAGCGTGGACGGACTGACCACTCCACCTAGAGACTGGGACCCTGCTCCCTCAGCACCAAGGACAGGCTGAGAGCGACGGCCCCAGCAGACACGGGCAGAGAGCCTTCAGAGGTGGAAGGTCCTCCCTGCCCACAGGCCCTCAAGCACGGCTGAGGCAGCCACTGTCCTGAAAGGGGAGCCAAAGACTGAAGTGTGTAACCCAAAATTCACATGCTAAAGGCCCCACCCCCAGTGTGACAGGGCCTCAGGAGATAGCGAGGGACGGTAAGGTCGGAAGGTCCTGAACCAGCAGAGCCGGGCCCTGTAACACACAGGACAGCCCTGCTCTCCCTGTCTCTCTCCCTCTCTGCCACGAGAAGGCACAGCGAGAAGTCTGCAGCCACAGCTGTAAGCCGGAGAGCCCTCTCAACCCGAGCGGTGCACTCCAACCTTGGGCTCCCGGCCTCGACACAGTAATGGGGTCTTCTGATGAGCACCGCAGCTATGGGAGGCCGGAGCCGAGTGCACCTGCTCCTGGCAAGGGCCAGAAGTGTGGCCCTGAAGCAGACAGTGGAGGGCGGAGCCACCCTACAGCAGGGGCTCACATCAGGGGACCTCAGTGGGATGCTCGATATGGCTGGACCCGGCAGAGGTCTGTCCTCCCAGGGCCTGGGGGGCTGGCGTAAAAGCCGGCTGCGTCCAGGGCCAGGTGCACGACCTCTGCTGACTGAGCACCACGCTGCCACGCCCTGCTCATTGCAGCCGCCCTGCGTCTACACGGGCTGGAGCCGTGTGGGGAGCTCACCTCAGAGCTCCTGGGTGCCGGCCTGAGACACACCACCAGGCACACAGAAAACACCTGAGACTTGGGCCGAAATGCTGGCCAAGATAAAGGGAGGGTTTGCGTGGGTCTCCCTGGGTCCTGCGAGGTGCTCCTGCGCATCCAGGGGCGGGGCCGATCCTGCGGGTGGCCCAGGGACCCCTGTGGCGCTGCCCCGACTCTGCCCACAGGAGGGAGCTGAAGGAGCCCAGTCTACCCTACAAAGCATTGTGGCCGGGGTCCTCACGCAGCAGGTGCCAGGCCACGTCGGGCCCAGCCCCAGGCTAGCAAGTCCTTCTCAGCCCCTTTGAAACGTCAGATGGTGAGAACGCCCCCACACTCACCCTTGCCTCCCACGGCGTCACAGTGATGTCACCATGGAGACAGTACACCCAGGACACAGCAGAGACACACGAGCCTGACAGGAAGATGGTCCCAGCCCAGCCCAGAAACCGGTCCTATGCCCCTCTGCCCACACCCTTGGTCTCAGGTCCACCAAGGCTGGGAGTCATCGGCCTCTCCTGACAACTCCACCTACAGCAGAGGCAGAGAGGACGGCCGTGTGACCAGATGCACGCTTTCTCACCAACCACCATTCGACCTGCACGTCCAGAACAAGTGGGAGGGAAAAACACCCAGCTTCATGGAAAGAGATCCTGGGGGCTAGGTAGAGTGGTGGTTAGAGAGGCTGGGTCCCATGTGGCCAACGGGGAATCCCAGACCCTGCAGCTTGACAAGCACACAGGGCCAGGACCAGCAGGTGGTGTAATGGCCACATCACTGGACTCCCACATAGCCATCCCCAGCTCGAGTCCCGGACCCAGTGCTTAAAACACATGCCAGGCACATGTGGGTGCGTGCCCAAGATCCTGGGAAGAGAATGGAGGAGCAGGGATTGCCAGGTGTCTTAAAAAAAAAAACAAACCACGGGCACATGTGTGTGCAGGCCCGAGATCTCACAAGGAGAGGGGAGAGCGGCAGTCTGTGTCCCAGGACGGCCTCCCTCAGCCCCTCTGCCCGTCTCGGGTGAGCACACACCTCCTCCAGCAAAGCGTACAGCAAAGAAATCACACCCTTCCGTTCTCTGCTCCAACAGCCCCGGTGCCCCACCACTGCACTCTCGCGCTGGAGACCACGGCCAGGCCCGCACGGCACGCCTGTGCAGGCCGTGAGCACGCCTGCAGCCGAACCTTCTCAGCCGATGGCCGCTGTTCCTCTCTCACTCTCCGCGTGGAGACCTGGGCGTCTAAGAGCAGTCTAAGGGAAGCTTGACGTCCACCCCTGCCACGCAAACGCCACATCACCCCCGCCTCAGCCTCGCCCTCAGAGGCCCAGCCTTACCCATGAGGGGCCAGGTTGGTTGTCACCAACACGGTCTTCACCTCTTCCACACCATTGCCGTCGACTGCGGTGTCTGGAGTCGTCACAACCACAACCTCCTCCATGTGGACGCTCACATCTGGGGTCGCCATGGCCCTGCTGAGATGTCAAGACCCAAGACCTGGACAGAGTGAGGCAGGGCACGGCTTAGGGTGCGGGCCCCTCCCTGAGCCGCACAGGGCCGCCGGCACCCCGACGGCCCATTCCTGCCGAGTGTGGCAGCGCAGGGTGCCCCAGGTTCTGGCCCTGAAGTGCAGGAGCATGACTCGCCCACCCTGCCCCTGGGGGAACTGAGACCCAGCAGAAGCCACGGGGCACTCTGGAGTGGCCGGGAGGCTCAGAGCGGCATGGTGGGAGGGCAAGCAGGGTCTGAGCGTGGTGACAGTGCGCCGCTGGCTGGTGCTCCGCTCCGTGCCCCTGGTGAGCCCACGGGCAGCCCCGGCCCCAGGACTGAGTGGCAGATGCAGAGAGAATGCTCTCCATGGGAAGGGATCTCTACAGGCTGGGGAAAGGGACCCCACAGACAGAAGAGGGGAGAAAGACCCTGGGTTTCCGAATTACCCACTTCTGTCTCTGCAGCAGTCCTTAGATAAGCCCAGCTCCTGCTAAAAGCCTGTGACGGTGGCGGTGGCCTGGGGGACACCTAAACTCAGAGGGGTGCTCTTCTTCCTGTGACGGTGGCGGTGGCCTGGGGGACACCTAAACTCAGGGGGGGGTGCTCTTCTTCCTGACGAGGGTCCCGGGGAGTGGTCATGCTTGCACACATGCCCTCCACTTACGGCCCAGGAGGACTCGTCCTGACCCGCTGCAGCACACAGGTCACGAGGCCGCGGCTTTCAGCCTGAGGACAAGGGAGAGGTGGGAGCAGAGAGGAATGCC